GCACGGATTACGAGGATATGAAATGCTTCTTCCTGTTGCGTGGTCCGACGAGTTATTATTCATCAATGATACCCCGTACTTTCTTATCCGCTCTCTCTCTCTCTCTCTCTCTCTCTCTCTCTCTCTCTCTCTCTCTCTCTCTCTCTCTGCTTTGAGTCTCTGACCCTTTCTTTTCCGCTCTTCTCTGATTCCTTCCATGATAGAGAGGATGTACAGACTTTAGCGTCCTGAAGGCGTAGCTCGGCCACCACACCAACTCGCCCAGGCTGCCCCAGCCCCCCCCCCAAATCCACTCTCGAACTGCTTGCGGCCATCAATTCACACACCACCATCGTCGATCCGCGCTTCCAATTTGTTGCTTCTCGACTCTGGTGAGTTTCTCGATTTCCCTTTTCGGTGACTACCTACACACACACCACCATTCCCTTGGGACACCCACCCACCCACACCCACCCACACACACACACACACACATACAGTATACACCTTTTTTTTTTTTTTTTTTTTTGACGCGTCGATGTATGGAAATAGTACCCGGAGCGGTGTGTTCTTGGCAAAGGCATCCCCTTCTACCTCCATGCAGGTGCTTGGAGGGTAAGACGACTCCCCCTAAAAGGCCAGCTGAGAGGTCACCTACCGTAACCTACAGAGAGAGTCCTCGCGCCCGGCCCAGACGGTCCAGCCGACCCCCGATCGCTAGTACCTCGTACATGGCCAAGTCACTGTGAACGCTGCGCGCTAAGCCCGAGACCCGCCCCGCTGCTGAAACTTGCTGTAACAGACGGCCACGGCAGCTGTACAGAGGGTGACGCAGCTTACATCACTGCTCGCTCTGCTACGGCATGCTACGCATGCTACGCAGTGATCGGATACAGCGCCCACCTACCTAGCCTTCCCAGTCTCCTTGACGAGCACGGCCCGCCTACGAGCCGCCAGTATGGTGCGCATCATACCGAGTCGTCTCTTCCCCTCCAACTCGGCCTCGGCCTCCTCTCCCTCCCCCTCTCCTTCTTCCTCTCCTCTCCCAACTCTATCTTCTCCCTCATCCAACTCCGTCGTCGACAACGACAGCAGCAACAGCAGCAGCAGCAGCAGCAACGACGGCAACAACAAAAACAAAAACAATAATAAAACCGACCCTTCCTCTTCCTCCTCCTCCCACGGTTCAACCTCTCCCGACACCGAGCCATCGCCGGACCTATCGTCCTGCTCCTCCTCTGCCCCTCCTCCCCGAGGAGCACAGACGGTATCAGCATCGGCAGCGGCGAAAGCAGCCGCAGGAGCTCCCCTGCCATCTCCCAGGCTCGCCACCTCGCCCTTGTCGAACCAACCTCTGACGGAGAACACTACCACCGGCGGCGGCGGCAGCAGCAGCAGCAGCAGCAGCAGCAGCAGCGGCAGCAGCAGCAACCCCAAGTCAGCCGCACTCACAAAGACAAAGTCCAAGAGGGGCAAGACAAAGGGCCTCCTCCTCAACGCCGCCTCCAGGACCTCGACGGCCACCATGCGCACAAGCTCCGGTACCAGCAGCCCAGGGGGCGATGCGGGCAGCGGACTCGCCATCCGGGTCGTCATCATGCGTGTACGTCTCCCTATCTCCCCTCTTCCCCACCTCCGATACTTCCAACCCCGTCCTGCCGGCTTGGTCGCTTTTGCTGTGCCGCTCAGCAGCGGCGGCAGCGGCAGAGGAAGGGTGGCCTTGCTTCTTCTTCCTCTTCTTCTTCTCCTTCCCCGCCACCAAGATTCCACGTGCACATGCGCGTCCCGTTGCTGACAATACTTCTATAGGCCAGGAACTTGGCTGCCAAGGATCGAGGCGGCACCTCCGACCCCGTAAGTCTCACCTATCCTCAGCCTGATACCAAAACACACAGGCACTAGAGAGGAGCGAAAGGAAGGAAAGAATAGAAGGAGAAAAAGAAGAGTGGAGAAAAAAAATCATGGATGGACAAGAACTGACAAGGGACACGCCCCTCATCAATAGTACCTTGTTCTCACCCTCGGAGAATCCCGAGTCGTCACCCACACCGTGCCCAAGACGCTCAACCCCGAGTGGAACGTCATCGAGGAGCTGCCGGTATCCTCCATCAACAGCCTGATTCTGGACGTAACCTGCTGGGACAAGGATCGCTTCGGAAAGGACTACATGGGCGAGTTTGACCTCGCCCTCGAGGACGTCTTCCAGAACGGTCAGACCACCCAGGCTGCTACCTGGTACCCCCTCCGGAGCAAGCGCCCTGGGAAGAAGACGAGCGTAGTCTCGGGCGAGGTCCAGCTGCAGTTCACCCTCCTCGACACCACCGCCAAGGGCTCCCCCTCGGCCGCGACGGTGTTCGAGAAGTTCAACGCCCTCGTCCGATCCGTCCCCGTCGCCCCCGCAGCAGCCTCGTCCCACGCCGCCCGCGCCTCGGCCTCCCGTACCGAGGGGACTGCCGCCCCGCCATCTGCCACCGGCGCTCCCTCTCCGACGGCCGGGGACGGCGATGATGCGAGCAGCAACTATGATGACGACGATGACGACGACGACGACGATGACGACGACGACGATGATGAGGATGACGAAGACGACGACGATGACGATGAAGACGAGCCTGGCGTCGACCAGGCCGAGAAGCGCCGGCGCCGCCTGCGCATCAGGGGCCTCAAGAAGAGGCGCAGGCAGAATCCCTACGCCTTCACCAACGGCGACTCGGATCTGGTCGGCATCATCTTCCTCGAGGTTGCCCGCATCACCGACCTGCCGCCCGAGTCCAACCTGACGCGTACCGGCTTCGACATGGACCCCTTCGTGGTCGCCTCGCTCGGCAAGAAGACGTACCGCACCAAGCGCGTCCGTCACAACCTCAACCCCGTCTTCAATGAGAAGATGCTGTTCCAGGTCCAGAACCATGAGAAGGCCTACTCCTTCGCCCTGACCGTCATCGACCACGACAAGTACTCCAACAACGACTTCATCGCCTCCTGCCACCTGCCCATCAAGGACCTCATCGCCAAGGCCCCACACGCCGACCCCGAGACCGGCCTGTACGAGCTGCGTCAGCCCGACGGTCCCGGCGCCGGTCCCGGCGCCGGCCCCGCCGGCTCGTCCTCGTCAGCGGGGAAGAGTCGCCTCAAGAGGCTCGGTCTGTCCCGCACCCCGTCCACCCAGAGTCTGAGCAAGGTGATACGCCCGGTCCTGACCAAGACGGTGTCGGGAACCAGCACCGTATCCCAGGTGTCGTCCCCGGAGAACGCCGCCACCTCGGAATCGGGCGACACGACGGCCACGGCCACGACGGACGGCAGCGCGGCCGTGCCCACGGTCACGGTCGAGGAAGACGGGGACGGCTTCTACGAGTACGGGCTGCCGCTCAAGCTGGTCAACGTGGACAAGTGGGAGGCCAAGCACAACCCCGTCCTCTACCTCCGGGCCAAGTACATGCCGTACCGCGCCCTGCGCCAGCAGTTCTGGCGCGCCCTCCTCCGCCAGTACGATACGGACGAGAGCGGCCGCATCAGCCGTATCGAGATGACGACGATGCTCGACACGCTCGGCTCCACCCTGAGGGAGTCGACCATCGACAGCTTCTTCACCCGCTTCCCCCACAAGGCCGCCGACAACGAGGACACGTGGGACCTCACCTTGGACGAGGCCGTGCTCTGCCTCGAGGACCAGCTCGAGGCCAAGAGCAAGCACGGCCTGGTCGACAAGCTCAAGGCCGCCTTGCCTGATCTGGGGAGCCTCAACCTGGCGGGCGGCAGCGGCGATGCCGGAGCGGCCGTCGGAGCGGCCGCGGTGGCGACGGGCGGAGGCGGCAGCGGCGTCGAGGGCAGCGGCGGGACCTCGACGGCCGGCAGCAAGACGCCCGTGACGGCAGCTGCCGCCCCCGCCTCGGGCGACGACGCCGCCGTCTCGGCCATGACGGACCTGTCGGACAGGGACGAGGCGGGCGACGACCGCGGCGAGGAGCACGTGGTGGAGATACGCGAGTGTCCCATCTGCCACCAGCCGCGGCTCAACAAGCGGACGGACACGGACATCATCACGCACATCGCGACGTGCGCGAGCCAGGACTGGCGGCAGGTTAACCACGTGGTCGTCAGCGGGTTCGTGACGGCGAGCCAGGCGCAGCGCAAGTGGTACTCCAAGGTCATCACCAAGATCTCGTACGGCGGGTACAAGCTGGGAGCCAACTCGGCCAACATCCTGGTGCAGGACCGCACGACGGGCCAGATCAACGAGGAGAAGATGAGCGTGTACGTGCGGCTGGGGATCCGGCTGCTGTACAAGGGGCTGAAGTCGCGGGACATGGAGAAGAAGCGGATCCGGCGGATGCTCAAGAACCTGACGGTCAAGCAGGGCCGCAAGTTTGACGAACCGGCGTCCAGGGACGAGATTGAGAAGTTCATCATGTTCCACCGCCTGGACATGTCGGAGGTGCTCCTCCCGCTGGAGGAGTTCAAGAACTTCAACGAGTTCTTCTACCGCGCCCTGAAGCCGGGGGCGCGCCCGTGCTCGGCGCCGGAGAACCCGAAGGTGGTGGTGTCGCCGGCCGACTGCCGCAGCGTCGTCTTCAACCAGATCACGCAGGCGACCAAGATCTGGGTCAAAGGCCGCGACTTCAGCGTCAAGCGGCTCCTGGGCAGCGCGTACCCGGACGACGTGCCGCGGTACGACGGCGGCGGCGCGCTGGGCGTCTTCCGGCTGGCGCCTCAGGACTACCACCGGTTCCACGTGCCGGTGGACGGCGTCATGGGCGAGCCCGTCGTCATCGACGGAGACTACTACACGGTCAACCCCATGGCCATCCGGTCGGCCCTGGACGTGTACAGCGAGAACGTGCGGGTGCTGGTGCCCATCGATTCGGAGCAGCACGGGAGGGTCATGGTGGTGTGCGTGGGCGCCATGATGGTGGGCAGCACGGTCATCACCCGCAAGGCGGGCGAGAGGGTCAGCCGTGCGGAGGAGCTGGGGTACTTCAAGTTCGGAGGCAGCACGGTGCTGCTCCTGTTCGAGCCCGGCAAGGTCAAGTTTGACGACGATCTCGTCGACAATTCGAACGGAGCGTTGGAGACACTGGTGAGTCTCGGTCCCCTGGCAGACTGATCCGAAGAGGGATCTGAGGAGGAGGAAGAGAAAAGGAAGACGGGGAAGAGAGCTGACTGTTGCTGTGCAGATCCGCGTCGGGATGTCGATCGGACACTCACCAGACGAACCGCAGTGGGTATCGGACATGCGCAGGAGCGAGGCAGACATCACAGAAGAAGAGAAGAAGGCTGCCAAGAGAAGGATCCAGGGCAGCGTGGCCGAGGACTCTCCGGAGGGGAGCGGGGACGACGACGGTCCCGGCCGTGCAAGGAGGGAGAGTGGGCCTACGATGAATACGCTCGCTGCTTCGGCGCTGTAGGGTCGTCTTCCGTCTCCGTCTCCTCCGGACAGGCTGCGTCTGGCACTCGTCTCCCATGTTCCGACCAGAGTCGACACTACGGACAACTACTACGAGCGTCTTTCTAAGAGCGGCCTCGGCGTCGGAGAGGGTATCCTATCATGGAATGTGACGATTGCATCATTCATGTAAGGGGCGGGGCGCTGCTAAAGAAGAAGAGAGGTGGGAGAAGGGTTAGGTAGGAGAAGAGAGAGAGAGAGAAGAGAAAAGAAGAAGATACATATATACAGATATATCTGCTCTAGCATTAGTCGTCATGGGTGGCGTTTGAATATAAGCATTTTCGAGCATGGATGGGATGCACGGTGGTCTTGTACGAAGACTGTCACCCTTCTTCTCAGCGTGATGAGGTCATTCAACAGTAGCGGAAAGGGTATTGAGATTGAGCAAGGGGGAGGGGGGGCAGCATTGAAAATGTATCAAGAGTTCATTGAGCTATCAGATCAGACAATTGGAGAGAGAGAGAGAAAGAACACGAGAGAAGAGAAAGAGAAAGAGACAAGAGGAGTGAATATGACCAGAGATGCATCCCTAAAACGCCAGACATGATGTAGATATAAGGGGAAGGAAGAAGAAGAAAGGACTGCAGCTGCACAGTGTGCGCATCACATGTTCAGGAATCAGACAGGCGGCGAGGCAGATTCAATGTCCCCCATCGGTACTACAGCTACTGTTCCTCCTAGAGGAGACGCCGCTGTCGACCGAGGTCCGGGGGTATGTAGTAGCGGTGGCGGCGGCGGCGGGCTTCTTGGTGAAGGAGGACGGGGACGATGGCGGGGATAGACGCTCTTGCTGCTGCTCCCTGCGCTGCTGGATAGAGGAGTAGATTTGCTTGCAGAGGTGAGCGGACATGGTGTATGTGGGAGACATTTTTGGTGTGTGTGTGTGTGTGTGTGTGTGTAGGAGTGGTGGTAGAAGAAGTAGAAGAAGTAGAAGAAGCAGTAGGCAAGAGCCGGATTGGTTGGATTGGTTGGTTGGCAAGTTTAAGCAGTCGGAGCCTAGAGGGGGGTTTTTTTTTTTCTTCTCTTGTTGTTGTTGTTGTTGTTTTCCAGAGAGTTTGTAGGTGGGGTGTTTTTTATTTTATAGAATCTCGGACCCGAGGAAGACGGTTGTTTGAAATTGAAGGTGGTAGATGGTAAAAGTGAGGAGAGAGAGGGAGAGAGGGAAGCGGATGGAGAGAGATGGATGGTAGAGGGTGAGAGAGATGGATGGAATGAGAGAGAGAGAGAGAGTATTGGCAAAAGTTGGAGAGGGAAGTGGGAGCGGTTGAATTAAAATAAAGCCTCTTGTTGAGAAGGAATAAAGGTCCAAGAGTAATGAGGTGATGTGACAGGCAGAGTGTGGGGACGCTTCTTCTTTCTTCGTTTTCTCTCTTTTTTTTTATCATTGTTTTTTTCTTTTTCCCTTTCCAGTACGAGTAGAAGAGGAAGAAAAAAAAAAACCTACGACTTTTACCATGTTCGTAAACATGATCAAAAGTCACGCCATTTATCGTACCCAGTCGGGCAAGTCTGCTCAATGCCTCAAGAGGAGGGAGGGTGGGGCCCCACGCACGTCCTGTGTGTTGTGTCACTGTGTGTATGTGTGTACGAATATGTATGTGTGTGTACGTGTGTGTATGTGTGTATGCGTGTATGCGTGTGTATGTGTATATGTGTGTATATGTGTGTGCTGTGCTGTGGGCGGGGCACCAAAGGAGGAGCCCCCTCCAGTGGAATGAATATCCATTCACTTGGTGTATTGTTACAAGGAAAACCCTTTTTTTTTTCTCCTGTACGGGTACGCCAGAGAAGACCAGAAAAGGGTCCCGAGTCTCCAGTCCGGTCCAGTCCAGTCCAATCCAGTCCAATCCGATCCGGTCCGGTCCGGTCCAGTCCAATCTATTCTAAGGGGGGGGGGGGGGATTTGTTGGGTCCCAAAAGTGTGCCGATGGAGATCATCCGGGTTCCATGACATGACTTTGACGGGATTGAATAGAACAGACAATAAACGACGACGACGACGACGACACAACAACAACAACAATAATAATGATAACAATAACAGCAAGGACGACGACGACAAACCCCAACCCCCCAACCCTCCCCGACGTCAAAAAGAGGGGGGGTCTTGCTTTTCGGGTCACATCACCTCCGGTGGTCTGATTGCCTGATCTGGCAATCATAATACTCGGTCAGTTCCGAGATCCACAAAAAAAGAAAAAAGGGGAGGGGGGACAGGGAGAGACAGAAGATAGTCCACCAGTCTCTCTCTCTACCTTACCCCCTTGTCGTGTCTCATGCTCTCCATCGATCCTGCTCTGTCTTGTCCTTGGTTAGATAGCAGGACATCCTCACATGTCATCGTCTGATGTGCCGAGAAGGAAGGGAGAGGGAAGAGGAGGAAAGAGGACGGCGACGTCGCGGTATGTTGGTGATAACACATCATCGTGCTGGACAGCATCCCGCACGGAAGCCACGCCGACTTCTGACCGTGGATCGATTGGACACGACGTCGCGAGAGAGGAGGAATACACGCAGCCCGACTTGTCCGACGCTCACCGAACCTCGTATATATATATATATATATCATCTACTACGAACATGTCGATGGTTGGAATGACAGGGTTTTTTTTCTTTTTCTTTCCTTGTTGTCATCTCCGACGGCCAATAGATACATGTATTGATCACACTCTCCCTACTACAATCTTGCAACGGTTCATGACGTTCATGCTCTCAGAGTAGGAGCGCATCGTCCGGGAGAAGATGGCTTCACCATCCCATATCGGGGGTTTGCTGACCTCATCTCTTCTCGTATGAATGAGGGGAGGAGTTGGTCATGTACTCTACCCGATCTGGTAATTGGTCGGTGGTGGTGGTGGGGTGAGGGGGGGNAGGAGGAGGAGGGAGGAGGGGGTGGGGGGTGGGGGGTGGGGAGGAGAGCAGCCTCGTACTATAACCAACTATACAACTTACATGAACAACACACACGAGACAAGAAGTTGATCCACGCCATCATCGTCATGATATATGAATGGTCAATGATGAATAGGGGGAGATATCAGCAGTGATCACTACTACTATTACTTTACTTTGCATTAGAAGAGAGAAAGAAGAGGAGAGAAATCGGTTCATAGATATGATATCCCATTCCTTCAAAAGTGTATAGTTGTGGAGGAAGGAGACGAAAGAAGGAAGATGAGAAGAAAGAAGAGAGCCATGATCCCGTAGCATGCACAGCAGAACCGCAGAACAGCAAAACAGCAAAACAGCAAAACACCAACGCCTGGTTGGGGAGTCAAGCATACGCCTTGGCCACGTTGAGCATGCCGACCGGCCTGCTCGAGAAGGCGGCATGGCCTACCTTGCTCCCGGAACCGCCCTCTCCCTCGTACACGACGCCCCAGACCAGCGGCATCGACGCCAACCCCGACCCCTCAGCCGAGGAAGGGTGGCACCTGGCGCTGATGACGGCCGAGCACGACCCCCCCTTGAGGGCCAGCGGGTTGCCGTCGCGCCGACGGGCCACCTCCTCGTCCACGGAGACCGGGGTCGACGACCGGCCGTCTGCGGCGGGGGCGGCCCGGCGCAGCGAGAGGAGCCCCACCACGGCACCCGTGGCCGCCAGCACGGCCAGGAGGATCACGAGAGGCAGCACGTTGAGGCCGATGGCCATCCTCTCGCCGTCGCTGCCCGGCGCCACCACGACGCGGAACGATTGGCCGAGCATCAGTCCCGCGCCGGCGAACACCACCACCGCCGCCGACGACCACGCGAGCGGCAGGGTCAGGTGCAGCGACGAGACCTGGGATCCGCGCGCCGCCGCGGACGAGACGCGCAGGCCCTGCGGGACCCCCGGGGCGCTGAACTGTGAGAATTCGTGCGACAGCCGGTACACGCTCAGGAGGGCGTTGGTGGTCAGGTACAGCACCGCCAGCAGGAGGTGCGGCAGGGCGAGCACGACGCACGCTCCCACCCGCCCCAGCCCGGGCGGCAGGTCGTACGTCGCCGTCGTGCTCGTCAGCGAGGAGAGCAGGGCGGCCTTCTTCCCGGGCTCGTCCGTGACGGCCATCCCCACCATCGCCGCCGTCAGGCCCGTGGGGACGACCCACGTCGCGAACCACGCTGCCCATCGCGTCGGGGAGGGGGTCTGACCCCAGAGGTGTCGCTCCGTGAACCAGTATCGTGCCTGGCCGCAGCCCCACCGCTTGGAGACGATGTCCGCCTTGGTCACGAGGCACGCGCCTTCCGTCGTGCTGTCCGGGTCGGTCAGGAACGACGAGATGGCGTCGCCGAGGGTGACGAGCCGCGTCGACGACCCGCCCACCAGCGTGACCGTGGCCGCCAGGGTGAACATGAAGAGCAGGTAGAGGCCGGCCACCGTCGCGAGGAGAGGGCCGTTGAGGTACAGGGAGCAGGTCGAGGAGTTGGTCTGCGCGATGAAGGTGAGCGAGTTGTACACGACCTGCGCCCCCATGGCGAGCATCACGGCCATGACGGACAGCGCCGCCCGGCCCCGGGAGATGCCGCCGAGATTTCGGAGGGACGGGATCCCGATGTCCATCCAGCCCAGGCGGGCGTGCGCCTCCGCCACCTCACTCCTCGTCGGGCTGGCCAGGGTCTGGGCCGTGTAGTTTGCGCCGGCGAGCATGAGGACGGCCAGCACGTTGACCAGGGCGTTGAGCCCTGCCGACAGGCTGCTCACCCTGCCGCACCGTCCCTCCACCACCACCTTGGCTTCCTGCCCTGCGAAGCGGCCCCGAGCGGCGGCCAGGCCGATGCACACGACCGAGGCGATGAAGACCACGGCTCCCAGTAGCAGGTTGAGGATTATCCCTCCCTTCCAGCCCGTCATCATCCTCCTCAGCGCTCCTCCCGCGCCCTTCTCCAGATCTCGTTGCGAGTTGACGTGGTCCAATTCGGCGGCCCGCGACTGGATGTTCTCGCCGCGGTGCATCTCCGCCGTCCGGATCTTGGCCGCGGCGCGCTCCCTCTTCTTGGCGAGAGACTCGGGCGTCTCCCCGTGGATGTAGTTGATGACGTAGTCGGGGATGACGTCGTCGCCCACCAGGCTGGATGCCGGCCGCAGGCTCATCCACCCGTTGCTCCGGCGGCTGCTGCTGAGGCGGCTGCTCCGGCGGGGGGTCGAGCCCGACCTCGATCTCGACCCGGAGCGTGAGTGGCGCGCCCATGATCCCGATATCGACCGGTTGTGCGAATGGCTCTGAAAGGGCCAGCCGAGCGTCGGTCGGCTTGACGACGAAGTCGTCACACGGTGACTGGTTGAGCTGCTCTCGCCGGGGTTCTCGGGGATGCTGTTAACGGTCGAGTCAGATACTGTCTCCCACATCATCTCCCACATCATGACGATGAGCGGTGCCGATGAAATTCCGTGAGCAAGGAGGAAAGGAGAGATCGAGGTCATATTCAAGAGACGATCCACCTCATGAGTCTTTACCTGTCTATCTGTGTCGAGCCATTCCTAGGGTGCCTTGTGGCAGAGGATGGCGCGCGGGGTCGTCCGGTGTCACTGAACATGCTCACTCCAGTATGAGATCAAGTTTTCGCCCAGTGGTCACACCTGTGACACTAAAGACCCTCTTAAAGAAGTAAAGAGGAAGAAGAAAACGTATCGGCTGCAATGGTAAAGAAGAGAAGGAGAAGAAGAAAAGAAGAAGGATAAAGAGTCTACCAGCTCATCAGCCTGCCCCAGAGACCAGGGGGCGGTGGTGATCGAGAGGTTCCGTATATAGAACGGAACCAAAGAAGAGAAGAAGGAACGAGTGTGGTTATCACGCAAGGTGATGTGAAAGAAACGAACGTATAGAGATGAAAGATAAGTGAGAGACAACCTAAAAGAGAGACCAAAGAATAGAATCGAACATGCAAGCCCAGCGCACTGATCGAAGGGGAGGAGAGGAGAGGAAGGGGGGGGGGGGGGGTGGTTAGTGAATTGGGAGATGGCCATCTCTGAATGGTGGGAGGACGTGGCTATGTATGAGAGGCAGACAACTGTATCGACCTCGTTGGTCAACACGGGGCGGAGGCTTTGCTGCATGACAGACAGGCTTTGGCAGGGGTGTGTACATTAGAAATGCCAGTCTTGGGTATTCTTGTCAATCTCGATGAATATAGAGCCTTCTTCTCTTCTCTTCTTCCTTTTCCTCCGATTTTGCCTCTTGTTCCATCTTTGGCTCACCTCGACCACCAATCCACTAGTAATGCATGTTCACGTCTCTTTTTCTCTTCTCCTTCTTCTTTCTTTCGGTGGTTTAAAACAAACAATCGAATGCAGATGCAGTGAGTGATGGGCATGATGCTCATAATAATCTCCTGACAGGGGAGGGCCGATCTCGTCTGTTGCGTCGCCCCCCCCCCCCCAGAAAAGAAAAGAGATGTTGCATGAATGAACGGCAGTGTAACAAATGAGCAGGACCGTCGCACTAAGAGGGGGACTCGACCGGGGTTGCTCAATCTCTTGTAGTCTGACCGGTTTCAGACACCGGGACAGGGATGCGATCCTTCCTTTCACTTCTGGTCTTCTGGTCCTCTTTCCGCCTGGGCTCTCTCACACACTATCCTCTGCGGCGTGGCACTCTTCGTGGGTGGGGGCGACAAGGTGTTGGAGCAGCCCGATAAGGCCGCATCTCGAACTTGGTCTGGCCGTTGTGTGCGGTTGAGATGCTCGGTTGTTTCTACCAGTACTGGTTTATCACCGGCGGCATGAAACGGGGGGGCGCGTACGGGTACGGTACGGAGTAAGATAGTAATACGAGTAGTATCACCTTGTGATGCAACGGCACAGGCACCAGTCCCTCTGTACCACTCACTCCATGTGCTCCGTCGGGTTCCGTAATCGTAGCATTTCCGCAATGCTGGCAGTCTTGGCTCTCTCACTTGGTCCGTGGCACACCGTCAGCGCCTGGGTTCTGACTGAGCACCGTGCCCGTACAACCAGTATTTAATGTGGGGGGGGAGGAGCCTTTGTTACCTGGCCTTCGGGCAGTCGATCTCTCTCTCCCTCTCTCTCGCAGCCTGACGACGGCGTCGTGGAACATCATGGAAGAAGTGCTCTATCTTCTTTTTTTTTATATTCATCCTTCTTCCTGTGCGGCCTTTTGTGTGCGTGCGCCTATGTGTCCCCTTCTTATGTTTGGATCAAAAGGAAGGTGCAAGGTGACGGTATCATCGCTCCTGCCGCACGCACTCTCCCCTCTCCCAATATTATTCACCATGTCACGACCTTCATTTTTTTTGTCATTCAACTTTTCAACCTTATTAATTCTTTTTTTGCGGCGCCCTCAAGAAAATGCAAACCTCTCCGGTTCGAAATAGTGTAACAAGCAACTAATTCCCCTCTTCCCCTTGAACAGACGAAGAAAAAAAAAAGGGGGGGGGGGGAGTCAAATATTAAGAAACACGAATCATGATGGTACACACTCCGCCTCACCTGGCATACGGATGGAATCCCCTGTTGCCCCCACGGCCTCCACCACGGTAGTTGGCACCAGGCTTCCCAGCATTCTTGGGCCCTGTGGGCGCGTTTGCTGGCGGCGCATTGGTGCCGTCACGTGGAGGAGCATCATCGTACATGCCTTCGTACGAAGCCTGGCTACCGCCGCTGCCACCCCCGTAACCACCAAAACTTCCACCGCGGCCCCCCCCACGACGACCACCCGGTCCTCCACCATGGTGTTGCTGCTGGCTGTACTGGTCGTAGCCGCCCCCACCTTGCTGCTGCTGCTGCTGCTGCTGCTGCTGCATCATTTGCTGCTGCATCTGCTGCATCTGTTGGGGGTTCATGCCGACGCCGGGACCGCCGCCCATCATGTTCTGTTGTCCACCGGGGCCTCCGGGGCCGCCAGGGCCGCCAGCGCCTCCCATCATCTGTTGCTGCATCTGCTGCATCTGCATCATCTGCTGCATCATCTGAGGGTTCATTTGCTGAGGCATGCCCCTCATGGCCATCTGTGACTGCATCATGGCAAAGTACTGCTGCATGCGCTGGAAATACTGTGCCATGACCTGAGGCGTCATACCATTGTTGCCCATTCCGTTGCCACCCATGCCGCCTTGAGCACCTCCCTGGTCGCCGCCTCCGCCGCCGGGTCCACCCCGCTGTTGGAACTTCATCCGCTTCGACGAGTCATCGTCATCCCGGAGGTTGCCCCGCGGTTGGGCCTTCTTGACCTCGACGGGCTTTCCGTGGATCTCGAGCGGCACGTCGATGCAAGCATCCACACCTGACTCGCTCTCAAAGGTGACGAAGCCGAACCCTCTGGGGCGCCCCGTGTCCTTGTCCATCATGAGCGTCGCATCAACCACTCGGCCAAACTGAGCAAAGTAGTCCCGGAACTCTTGGTCTGTTGTCTCCTGGCTGACACCGCCCACGAAAATCTTGCTCGTCTTCTCCTGCTCATCCCTAGGGATGGCTCGCTTCGGGTCAATCTACAACAGGCACATGAGAGTCAGCAGCAAGTCTCGTCTCGAGGCATTTCCGTGCTTATACTCACAATCTTCCCATCGAGATAATGCTCCTTCACCATCACAATGTTGACCGTCTTGGCATCCTTGAAGGTCAGGAAGCCGAACCCTCGGGACCGTCCGGTGGCGCTGTCGCGCATCACGGTACATTCCACCACCTCCCCAAACTGTGAAAAGTAGTCTCGTAGTGACTCTGTATTGTTTGGCAGGTTAGCATGATTTGATCACGTATGCACACGCATATACACTGAGGGACTCACGGTCTGTCGTCTCCCAATTCAAGCCACCAATAAACATTTTCCTACACAACGAACGTTAGTACACACAGCACGCCAACGAGCGAAAACGATAACGGACAAAAATAACAATGGGCAAAACAAAACAACAACAAGCTTCTAAACATGTGTGAGAAGCCGATGTGACAAGAGGGGCCGTTGGTAGCTGAGTTTGCACTCTGGTAGCATGACGACCGAGACTGGCGATGGGCGACCCGTCTTGGCCTTGGGGGTGTCTTTGGGGAGGGGGAGCCTCTTCTGTCTCCTTGTAGCGTACATCCCACCCGAGATGACGGAGGGTCATGCAGCAGAGAAGAGGGCAAAGCCTCTCCAATGAGCCCAACCCTCTCTCCCATGGCTTTGCGGCACAAGTGGTGATGCCGTTTTTTCTTATTCGGGAGAGTACATGGCTCGTGGGATGTGTCGGCAATGCATCTTTGGGGGGAGGCATGATTCCGGCGGTAGCAGTAGTAGCAGTAGTAGCAGCAGTAGCAGCAGCAAAACGTAGCAAGGTTGTCGTAGACGGAGAACAGGATTTGGCGATTTCTTGTCGGGGACTGCTCTCTCGAGGCTGCCAGTGGTCGGCAGAAGGAATGGTGGCCGTTGATTCCCTCTTTTGTTTGAGAGCATCCGTGTCAAAGAAAAATGGGGGAAAAGAAGACGGGCGATAGCAAGTCATGTCTGTCGAAATATCTCTTTTTTTTCGTTCTTTGTTGCTATCGTCTTGGCTGACTGTCTCTGTCTGTCTGACTGCCTGACTCTCTTGCTAGGTAACTAGCACTAGCCCTCAAGCGCTATTCGCTGCAAGTTTTCTTTGCTATGCTTGCGCAATGTCGTATCGCTACTTTGAGTGGGATATTTGTTCCATATAGCAAGGGGGGACAGTTCCGCGTGTTCTTGTCGTGGCCTTTTGACTATCTTTTTGTCGACTGCTTTTCTGACTCGCTCGCCCAGGAGTTTTTTCCACCAGATGGTTGCAAACGCTCGATCCAGCCCAGATGACAAAAAGATATCTTTCTCCAAGCCAGAGTTGGATGCGCCAGGCGTCCATAGAGAATAGCATAGCCTCAGACGAGCCCACCGCGTACTGGCCAGTTTGGACGGGACAGAGAGCCAGAGTCCGAGTCTCTCGATGATATATCTGCCAGTCTGGCTTACCAGTACAGAACATGCCTTCCACAAAAATTGCCGCACTCGTCCCAGCCAGGGCCACAATCACGGGTGTGTCGGTATAGCAACATGCCACCATGGGCAGCAGCCACCATGCATCGAAAGCAAGGTGTTCGGAAACTTCATACACATATTACGAAAAATGGAATGCTTATCACTTACCCGTCATCCTTGGCGCTGGCTTTATGAACAGATCCATACTGCGGGGGTGTAGGGGCCTGGACGTGTTGCTCCTGTGCAACTGCAGCCGACGGGCCTGTATGGGCGTTTCCGCCACCGAGGTTGAAGTCGACATCGTCGTCGTCGTCGTCGTCGTCCTGGTCCTGGTTCATATCCTCGGCCGCTCCCGCATCGTGCGCATGGTCGTGTCCAGCTGCGTCCTCCGTCCTGGTCTCCTGAACCGGTGCGGGAGCCGGCGCAGGGGGGGCGGTGGCTGGGGCCGGAGCTGGGGCCGGGCCCTTGGAAGCATCATTATCGTCGTAACTAGATGTAGGAAAACGTTAGAAGGTGTCAAAAGGGTGGGAAATGTCGGGTTATCGTCTCGGAAAGCGCTTACAGGTCGGCGAAGAGGTCCTCCTCAAAGTTCTCGGGGTCGGCCATTGTTGGAGAGAAGGAAGCGAGGTCGCGTGCCCTGTGGATTAGTGCAGAGATTGAAGCCGCAGGACGAGACAATGCGTAGTATCTTTTCTGTCAGAGAGATCGCGATACTCGTTAAGATGTGATGGGAGAAAAAAAGAAATATATCATGGGAAGGTAACAGAAGGGAGAGCGTGGCTGCGGAGTTTGTAGAAACGGTCGAGATGTGGCTCTGGTATTTATTGATGACTAATATACGCTGGGCCAATGAGAAGGGAAAGTCAGATGCCAAGGGGCTGTGTCCACTATCGCGATGACTTAGCAGCAATAAGTTCAGAAGATTACAGGCATGAGGGGCCCAGTAGCAGTAAGAGCGGGCACTAAAAAAGAGTGGGTGCTCGAAGTCCCACAGGCCTTACAGGGAGTTCAAATGGCTGTAATCTAATCCAAGTGGCACCATGGCACCACCTGAAGAGGTTGGATGCGCTGTGACCGTCTTCGGTAGCATGTGTCCCACGCCAATTCACCACCCACGTACTCGTCGTACATACTCGTACGCCACCACCCCAACCTTCGTCACATACAACATTGTCCAACAAGACTCAAACGACACCTCGCCGAGTCCGAGGCTTTGAACTGGCCTCGAACTCGCCGATCCCTCAGACGAACAGGATGTAAGAGTTGCGTCTGCATCTCTTCCATCCCCTTCTTCCTCTCTCCCTCTTTGTCTCCGCGCATTCTCCCCGCATCATGTGGTCATCGTCGAGCAGCGGTAGCAAGAAGCCCGCTCATCAGTCAGTGAGTCTTTGCTCTACTTACTCCCCCGCTCGTCCCTACACCTTTCTCGGTGTGTGTCGCATTAGAAGTGATTGAATTCTGACCATTTTTTCCTTCCAAAGCAGCCGCAAGAAATGGTGCAAGTTGGTATGTTGAGAGGGTATCGCGTCTGACTTCCTTGTCGGGAGGGGTTGCGACAGCTCACTTGACCCCCCTCCTCCATTCACTCATGGCTAATCTCGTGCTTTTACTTCGCCGGGAAAAGATCGTTCTTCAGAGTATGTCAAATTCCAAGCTACCTCTTTGTCCCTCTGAGACGAACAAAGACAGGATGCTAATCGACTTAGCAGATCTGCATCGCCGTTCTGGAGGCCACCCCCGGCTAGGAGGAGTGCCACGACGCCTGCTGGCCGCGACCCCAACCTTGTCGTCGGCGCCTCGTACTCCCACGCCGACATTCTCAAGCTCGACTCCTCGTTCGTGACCCAACAAATCCTTCCCTCCCCCCTCATCTTCTCTCCTGTCTACGAAACGAGGGATCGGCCGCCCCACATACGCTGACACCTCATGTTCAGGAGCCTCTCAAAGACGTCGGCACCCCAGTCCGAAACCCCACCCGCTGCGTTTTCGTCAAGCGCAAGATCCCGGACCGGCGATGTATCGACCATGCCGCGGGGCTCGGCCGGAAGGCCGTCGAGACCGTCCTCCCCTCCTTACAAGAATTATATCAATTTCCTCTCCAATACCAACGACGATTGGAAGGCCGATGAAGACGAGATGATGGGATATGATGACGACGACGGCGATGACTTTGGGCTTCCCAGCCTCTCGAGCATGAAGAGGAGGGCCCGGCGGCGCGAAAACGAGGACAGAAGTGTCCTGGGCAGCCAGGTACCCGGCATTGGCAACAGCAACCCTTTAGGGAACGAAGCGAGAGCCAGACGATATTCTGGCAGCGCCGATATCGCAGTCGAGCGTCCAACGCCATCTTACCCCATGCCTAAGAAGAGCGAAGGCAAGATACTCCGGCCGCAATACAAGGAGATATTGAGAGGTGAGAATGGTACCCTGCCTGCGTTAGTCACCAGCCGGACCCTTTGTTAACAGTGCGTGTCCTCGTCAGACCCGGCAAATGCTCTCCACCTCATCAACTACCCATCGATACCCAGCAACGCCAGCACCAAAGAGGCCGAGGCCATTAGCGCGAGGAGCACACGAATCAACAAGTTCAAGAAACTCCTCCAGGCATCGAGCATATCGCTTCCAGAGCTACGAAGCCTGGCCTGGTCGGGCGTGCCCGAGGAGGTGCGGGCCATGACGTGGCAGCTCCTACTAAGTTACCTACCTACCAACAGCGAGAGAAGGGTAGCGACACTGGAGCGAAAGCGAAAGGAATATCTAGATGGTGTGCGGCAGGCGTTTGACAGGGCAGGGAGCGGGGGTGGGGGCGGGACGACGGCGCCGCAGTCCGGACGGGCCAGGGGCCTGGACGAGGCCATATGGCACCAGATCAGCATCGACGCCCCGCGAACGAACCCGCACATTGAGCTGTACGGCTACGAGGCGACACAGCGGTCTCTGGAGCGAATCCTATACGTGTGGGCGGTGCGGCATCCGGCGAGCGGCTACGTCCAGGGCATCAACGACCTGGTGACGCCCTTCTGGCAGGTTTTCCTGGGCCTGTACATTGCCGACAGCAACATCGAGACGGGCATGGACCCGGGCCAGCTCCCCCGGTCAGTGCTAGATGCCGTCGAGGCCGACTCGTTTTGGTGTCTGACCAAGCTACTCGACGGCATCCAGGACCATTACATCGTCGCCCAGCCGGGCATCCAGCGCCAGGTGGCGGCCCTGCGAGATCTGACGGCCAGAATCGACTCGAAGCTTTCCAAGCACCTAGACAAGGAGGGCATCGAGTTTATCCAGTTTAGCTTCCGCTGGATGAACTGTCTACTCATGCGTGAGATTTCTGTTAACAACGTCATTCGCATGTGGGACACGTATCTAGTAAGCTTTCGCTCCTCTCCGCCATTTCATCCACCTCTCTTGCTTCTTCCTTGGGAGTATACTCTAGTTTGCATACTGACCAACGTTAACATGAATAGTCTGAGGAGCAGGGCTTCTCCGAGTTCCACTTATACGTGTGCGCCGCCTTTCTGGTGAAATGGTCGTCCAAATTGGTCGACATGGACTTTCAGGAGATCATGATGTTTCTCCAGAGCCTGCCGACCAAGGACTGGACGGAAAAGGACATTGAGCTCCTCCTCAGCGAGGCGTACATCTGGCAGAGTCTATTCAAGGGGTCGGCGGCGCACCTCAAGGGTCAGCCTAGTCGGCCTGCACTGCCAAACCTACAATTGTAATGAAAGAACACGCAGAAAGAACGAGGGAAGAGAAAAGGATTGATTTATGAATACACACACATATATAGAGGGAGGACAAAGGGAGAAATTTTTTATCACTAGCATATCATACCAAGTTTCTTTCTTTCTTCCTTTCTGTTACATGCAATGAACATTTCACATTCACCTCACATGGCATACACACAAACATACACACACAAACATTTCCATGGTAAAAGAAAGAAAAAGAAGTATGGAGATAGTGGAAAGATATATAAGGAGCGGAAAAGAAGAAGAAAAGACATGGTTCGTTTAAATTGGTATCCAGCGCCAAGAAATCCAGATCTCATGATGGATTCTATATTTCGTACTAAAAAAAAACAAGCGAAGATGAAGAAGAGAACAAGACAAGCCGCTCGTGATTAAAGGGGGAATATGACCTGAAAGAGGGAAAGAAGGGTACATCTTGGCCCGAAGGATGGGTTAGAAGGAATGATGGAGCGGGTGACGAGATTAACCATATAGCAAATCGTCAACAAATCCTAGTGCATGGCGATTATCATCCGAGACACGAGCCCACTCGAGCAGCAGGCGCCAGACATACAGGCGCATATCCTGCCTCCTGAGGGACTTCTCGGCCCAGTGCTTCCCAGACTCTGCGATGAATTGGGCGGCCCTGTCGCCCTCCGCGTCGCCGTCCTGGCCGGCGAAGAACTCGAGGACGGGGTAGAGGTCGCGCAGGGTGTTGTCGAGGGGGACGAAGTGCAGCCAGGGGACGAGACGGTCGTCGTGCCACTCTGCGTAGATGGTGGCCTTGAGGGGCACCGAGGTGGAGCGCATGAAGCCGCGGAAGCGGGCGCTGAAGGAGTTGCCGTCGATGTCGGGCAGGAACTTGTAGCGGTACTGGTCCTCCATGGGCCTCGGAGGAAGGATGGAGTAGTGGTCGGCGAGGAAGTCGCACTCGCCTGGCGGACAGAGGTTGACGAAGCCCACGTCGGCGAAGCGGCGGATCCACGACGACAGGTGGCCGCGCGAGGCGAGCGGGCTGGTATAGACGGACGTGTCGGGGAGCTCAAAGGTGTCGGTGCGGCCGACGCCGTCACCGTCCCGCTCGGCCCGCCACACGGACGTGGCGTTGAGCATGTCGACCATGCGGTGGCGGTGGAAGTGGTGCCAGGTCTCGGCGCGGGCGCGGCCACCCGAGGCGTCGCCCCGCCAGATGACGCCGTCGCGCTTCCTGTCCCACGAGGGGCCGTGGGCGTCGCCGCCCGAGTAGAAGGCGTCGTCTGTCAGGTACATGGCGCCCGGGATGAGGATCTCGTTGTTCATGGGAAGCTTGGACCCGCCGAACAACGGGATCAGCTCGTCGGTCGACGAGAGGCTGATGGGCTCGACGAAGCTGCCATGCAGCTGGCGGAGGTGAGGCTGCTCGCACGGGTCGGTGGCGGCCGTCCAGTTGCGCACGAAGCCCTGGAAGGCGTAGGCCGGGTCGTACGCCTGCGGGAACTCGGCCCTGCCCGAGTAGTCGGTGACGGCGCCGACACCGTAGGCCGGCGAGGAGGGGGGGCAGGCCCGCACGGCGAGGTCCCAGTACGAGCTGGACGGCCCGCTCCAGTCCGGGTCGTCGAAGGCCGGGTCGGCCGCGTCGACGGCCGACAGTCCCGGGTACTCGGCCGTGACGAGCCCGGGGGGAGGCATGGTGCGCTCCGCCTGCTCCGCGGCCAGCAGCCGGGCGATCTCGTCGTGGGGGACTAGCAGCCTCGGCTCGTCCATGTAGTTGATGGGCATGTCCACGTCGGGCAGGTGGTGGGCGAAGTCGGCGACGAGCCCGGTCCAGAGCTGCAGCCAAGGCACGCGGCCCTCGACGTCGCCCTCGGCCGCGGCCGTGCCGTTGCGCACGCGGACCAGCCACGGCCACGCGTGCGAGCTCCGCCGCGTCGACTCGGCGTCCTTGGCCCACCAGGGCGCCAGGTCCTTGTATATCCGGTCGTAGTAGTCCTCCACCACGACCGAGTCTGCCTCGAGCGCGGCCTCCATCCACCTGTCAAATCCGGGGGGGGGGTGCCGCCCGCGCGCCTCGCGGTACCGCTCCGCCGCCGAGCGCAGTGTGAAGCTGCGCCGCGAGAGCTTATCGGCTTGCACGTCCCGCGCCTCCCTCATCAGCTTCTTGATCGGGTGCTTCACGCCGAACGTCATGGGCGCGTGGGTCGTCTGCGCCGACCACGAGTGCGTGTCCCGCCAGAGCACGTAGTTGGCCACCACGAAGCCTATCACGAGGCCGGCGAAGATGTAGCGGAGCAGCAGGCGTGACGGACCGGCCGTCAGGCCCGGGACGAATCTGGGTGCTTTGATCATTCTTTCTTTTCTCTTTACTCTTTATATGTCTCTCCTCCTCTCTCTCTCTTGTTTTCTTCAGTGTTCCTGCCGTCAGGGGCGGAGAGGAGGACAGAACTCAACCCCGGAATAGTTTTTTTTTTCTTCTTCGCCACCACTTGTTGGGTAACCCAAGATGGAATTATATCATGTGTATGATAATGATATGAACGGCAACGGTGCCCCCTCCCCCCCCAAGTATTAGAGAGCTTCGAGAAGCGGCGGGCGCGGGAAACAAGGCTCGGCGTTTCTTGGCAGTGACGTAGGTGATGATACTAGGAAAGCGTTTCGATGAGATACGAGCGTCGCGATGAAGGATCATCAGACATTCTTTTCCCGGAGCATAGGCTGTTCAATAGCAGTAATGATATGGAGAAACATGCAAAGACGCAACACACGCACAGCAGATTATATCAAGAAACCAATGGAGATGCGTGCGCGTTTTTTTGCGTGTCTGCGAAAGAAATAAGAGAAATGGAAGAGTGCGCAGCTACGTAACTAGGATAAGGAGAGAACCACGTACGCCCATCACCATGGACAAAGCTCCTGAGCACAGTGAGACTCGAGAAGGGGCGTCTCTGCTCCGTACGGAGTAGAGGAGAGGAGAGAGATAGAGACAGGAGAGAAAAAAAATTATTAAATAATTATGGACCAAAAAATGAATGGAGAAGGCACGATGGAGAAGAAGGGAAAAAACAAGAATATCGAACAAATCAGTGACGGAGGAGGTTCCCAGGTTCCATGACGTGCAGCTCATCATTGGTCTCCTCAAGTGGGTTCATCTTGGTTCCCATCTCTCAACAAGGTAAAGATTGGTCCTATCATGATGCAATCGACCGGGCCGACACCTTCATTTCAAATATAAAGCGGTAAAATGAAAGGAGAATCCACTCTGGGAAGGGGGGGGGACTCACTGTTCGTCTAGTACAGTGTACGGCAACATACTATACATGTACGGAGTATTACTCGGTAGTAATTCTAGTAGGGAGAAGGGGGGAGGGGAGGGGAAGGGGAGGGGGACCCGGAGGAGGGACAGGCACCACCTCCCCAGGACTGCTCATCTCTCTCATCTCTCCTTCCAACGCGTGCAGTACACATAACTGGTAGTGTTTTCGAGAGAATTGGTGGTGATGATTCGAGATGGGGAGTCATTGCATGAGACAGTGTGTGTGGCGACGTCTGATGGCCATGTGCTCGCCATGTTTTCTTGACACCGGGAAGATGATGATGGAGGGATATTTAGGAAAAGAAATTGTGAAGTGTATATATGTATATATATTTATATATATTTATATGTATATATATTTATATGTATATATATTTATATGTATATATATTTATATGTATATATATTTATATGT